AGGCATGTGTGTGTGCGTGCCCAAGATCTCAAGAGGAGAATGTTGGAGAAGGGACTGCAGTGTAGCCATCCTCCCTGGGGAATGATTTTTCACTTTCTGTCTCTTTGTTTCTCTTTGTCTTTCTGGTGAGCTCATGCACCCTATAGCAAAAACCTCTCCCCCTAAAAACAACAACAACAGCAACAAAAACTTTGCTGTCTTGACAATAGAACTGTACCATACTTAGTGTGTAATTGGTATACTTTTTAGCTAAAATCAACCAAGAGCAGAATTTTTTTTTTCTTTTTTTGTACCATCTCCAGCATAGGTGACTAGACCTAGAAGTTTTGGATATTGTGCACATTCTGTGTGCATTTTATTTTTTGGAGTCTATACTGAATATGTCAATATGTCATATATTTTTATTGAAAATAAGGCTCATTCAGTACTTGTTTATTTATCCTTTAAGATTGCATTAGTCCCCACATACTCTACTGACAACATTTTTGAATTTTTCACTTTGTCTTTCTTAAATTCCAGTTTTAAGAACTTGGCTCTTCTGGCATTTTAGCAGAAAGAACCTCTAGTCAGGAAGGAAAGGGAATCAAGTTGTGGGTTTTAAATTCATTGATTTTAGTCAAGGATACTTGGTTTGTCTGAGGTTTGTTTTTCTGAGTATAACATTAAGGGCTGGATGTTCCTAAGGTTCTTTCTCAAATAGTTACTGTCTAGGATGTCTTTCTTATTAAATCTCATAGACTGGTGTGGTAGCTTCATGTCTCTCCTCCCCTCAACCCTCAAGGAGGTTCCTTATATTTCCTATCCCCAGGAATTTGTGTCTATTCACTGCAAAACATTGAGGTTAGACCATGTCTTCCATATTTCTAAACATTCTTTAGAATACTGTATTTTGCTTCTGGTTTTCTAGAAATATAGTAGCTTTTTCCTAGTCTTACTCTTATATTATGAAATATTATTTTCTTTGAATTCACTAGAAGACTAAGGAATAGTTTTAATATTGCCTACACATTATCACCTGCCCTTGTTAATCCAAATGCCTTTACAATCAGAACAATGATTAGATTAACATTACAATTTTCTGCTCCATATTTTCTCAGAATTATCTATGCCTACTCAGTTTTTACAGCTACTTCTAAAACATGAAACTGGGAGAAAGAGTTAGTTCATTGAACACCTTAAGTAGTTTTTTTTTTTTTTTTTTTTCCTGGAGTGGATTTTATTATAATGCATGTGCACTCGCCAGAAAGAGAGAGACGGAAAGCGAGAAATCACCCCCCGGGGGGATGACTATGCCACAATTCCTTCTCCTCCATTCTCCTCTCGGGATGCAGGACACGCATGCACACGTGCCTGGTGTGAGTTTTAAGCCACCGGGTCCAGGACTTGTACCGCGGTCGACTGCATGGGAGTCCGGCAACATAGCCATTACGCTAACTGCTGGTCCCTTAATTAGTGTTTTAATAGATATTCCCAAGTTAGAAGAAAGGGACAGTACAAAACTGATGAAAAATTTTTGTAGAAATTTATTAATTCTGAGAGAATAGGAGCTTGTCTGTATTTATTTTATCTCTAGTGCATAGAAGAATGTCTTGCCTGGAGTAGGCCTTATGTTAATATTTGTTCAATAAATAATGAATCAAATTACAACTGGTTAAGTACAGTGTAAAAGCACTTAGTTAACACTTTTATTTAAAGTCTTGGAGCACGTGCAGAAGATGGAGACCAATATGATACAGTGTCTGAAACCTAGTTAAATAAAAAATAGTGGGAAAAGATCAGGAATCTTTACTTGGAAGTTTAGGAAGTTTAGTTGGGATGGAAGGAGAATTTGTTTACTTTAATTCTTGAGAATAGCATTTAGAATAATGGAGAGAATTTAGACCTTTGTCAGGTACTCTGTCTCTTAAAACTTGAGATGTTCATATAGAAGTTGAATGACCATCTGTCAGAAATGTCAAAGAAAGGAACTCCTGAAGGAGCATATGTTGTATTTGTTGGACTCAAAGGTCTATGTGTGCCTATGGTTCTGAGAGTTTTATGTCAAAGGGAGACTGGGCATGGTGTGTTGTTTCCAGAGGATAATGAAGTAGATGTGAAAATTTCTGTTTTTGCTAAAGGGATTGGATTTATAGAGTTTTATCCAACATATCAACATTCTTGTCACTGAGAAGTGGAAATAGTTTTCTCTTTTTATTAATAAGAGATGGGTAATGGAGACCAATTAGTGAAAAGTGGAAGTAGTTTTCTCGTTTTATTAATAAGAGATGGGTAATGGAGACCACAGAAAAGTGATAGTAGATAAAAATGAGGTATCTGTGAGGGAAGTGAGGAAAGAAAAATGAATTAGCAAAATCATTTGCTTTGGGTTAGCACATGGACACTCTTCTAATGTGTTGGTAACCCCTGATAAATGATTTCTTTTTTAACATCACACCAGTGAGAACACTGTAGTCATCTGGAGGCCTTATGTGGAGTGGGAAACCTCCTAGCACACCTTAGTAACCTCTGAGAGTATCGATTTACATGGTAATTCATGAAATCATTTTTACAGTGTTTGAATATGAGTCTTCAAGAATGTTCAAGAATGTTTAAATCTTTTTTTCCTGCAAAGTTGAATAGTTTAAAGATGATTAAAAACTTGTTTTGTAGTCTCTTGAAGTTAGCAGTTCATTGAGGGAGACAGATGTACAAACAATTATATTACAACTTGGTAATGTATATTTAAACTATGGTATAACTAACATGCTGTAGGAACAATCTGCTTTGGGAGATTAGAAACGAAAGCACACTGGATCCTGAGAGGTAAACTTTGAAGGATAAAAAGTATAGGCGTTGGGTTCATAGGAACAATAGGAAGATAAGACTCTGCCCTTACAGACTTGGTGAAAAGATTAATGTCAAATAAGTTAGTTATAAAATTATCAAATGTTCAGGGATAAGGTGTTAATTTTTCAGAAAATTCTCTAAATGGGAGCAGGAGGAAGCAGAGTTTGGGATAAATTGAATGTGGCGCAAGGACAAAGTTAGGGAGATGTGTGTCAGCACCCTCCAGTCGAACAAATATCCACCTGCGAGAACGGAACACTCCTGCTGTTGTGGTTTGTAAATCCCTGATGTGGAGGTGGACACAGCAGCTGCTATTAGCCTGATGCCATTTAGACATGGCTTCATAAAACAAACTCTCCTTACTGTGGTTTTTAGACCAATCTACAGGGAAGCATTGTACTGGTTATGCTGATAAAGCATTCTGAGCCATATGGCTGTTACGATTCTCATTGTAAGCTAATGTAGTTAATCGAATGGCATTCCAGTTGTACATTAGTTTCTTGTGCACTTAATGTCACTCTTAGGCTGAAGATGGCTCCACCCAGAGTACAAAAATAAAAGAATTTCAGTTTTAGGTTTAGAAAGCTAAGATTCAGACAATGGACTCAGACGAACTCATCAAGATGAAAACTGTTGGGGGCCAGCAGGTGCTGTGATGGTTAAGGTGCTAGACCCCACATGGCTGACAGCAGTTGGAGTCTTGGACCCAGAGGCTTGAAAATCACACCAGGAGTATGTGACTGCATGCCCTAAAATTTAGAGAGGAGAATGGAGGAGAAGGGATTGCTCTGTAGCCATGCTCCCTGGAAGTGATTTCTCACTTTCTCTCTTACTATCTCTGTCTCTCTCTGGTGAGTGCCTAAGACGTATAGCAAAAACCTGGAAAAAAAGGAAAAAAAAAAAGATAAACACCATTTCTAGTGAGTAGCCTAACGTTGCAGTAATACAACTTCAGAAAGAATTGTACAAGTCACATACGGTCAGGGGAGACATATGTAGACACTTTGAATAACTGCAAGTACTCAAACTATGAGGGTGGAAAGGAGGAAGAAGAGACTGCAAAGGAAGATAGAAGGTGGGTTGTGAAAGAATGGGTAGAAGATGTTTCAGTCTTTTTTTTTTCTTTTTTCTTATTACAGTAAGTTGAATTTAATGGAAATATTTGTGTTTCTGTTGGTAAAATGTTATTCTGCTTTTTGCTATTAATATTTAATGAACAGATCTCCTTGTTTTAAATCCATTCTGGATCTGTGATCCACATAATATTCCTTAATTGTATTTAGTAGGATAAAGATGATTAGGTTGCTGTGTAACGACTAAAGGTATAAGAGCCAACCACCATGACTTTGGCTCACTGTTTATATGTACAATCTACTGCTTTGGTTATTTTATTACAAGCCCTGTGCAGTACCATTTTGAATTTCTCTAGTAATGAAATTGTGTAATCATAATAATTGAGAATTGTTTTGTCTAGGAGAGGTTTCCCAAGTTCTTGTAATCTCTTAAAAGCTCTCTATAGACCCGCTCTTTATTTAGTATATTTGCTTTTAAGGTGCTTTCATCTTTTATCAGAATTTCATGACTCATAAGCATTTATGTAGTATGATTGCATTTGAAAACTTAAGACTTTTTAAAAACTATGCTTGAGTGAGATAAAGGTAGTAGCATTTATTTTCCTCAAATGAAGAATGTAACAACTTATTTGATAGTTTTTATTTTCTATTGTCTTACTAATGCTTAGTGAAAACTGAAATGTAGTTTGTGATGCCAGTTTTTACTCTGATCCATGAATGGTAATGTGTGATTAGAATGGTACGAGATTTTTAAAATCTTTTTTTCTCCTCGTTTACTGTATTATTGTAATTTTGTTTGCCTAGTGTCTGTTCCACACTTTCTAAACTTCCTTACATCTGAATTTTCTGTAACTTTACTTCAGTTATTGAGTAGGTAGATGATTTTATTTTAGTAAGGTAAAGAGTCTGACAGATCTTTTGGGTGGTTGGAAAAGTCAAGATGTAATTTTTCTATGTTTTTTATGCAAAAATGCATCATGACTTTTCTGATTGACCAATATGTTCTAATCCAGTTCTGTGAGTTAGTTGTGTAGATAGTACACGTGTTTCTTGCTTCTACTTAACAATTTACATCTGTTTTATTTCTTATCAATACCTTAGGAAAAACATATAAGCAATGAAGAAGAGCACTTAAGGCGGATGGAAGAGGCCAGATTGCAGCTCAAAGATCAGCTTCTTTGTTTGGAAACCGAACAGGAGTCCATTCTTAGTGTGATAGGAAAGGAAATTGATGCAGCTTGTAAAACTTTCTCCAAGGACTCAATGGAGAAATTGAAAGTAATTATAAGTTCTTATTTTGCCTTAAATTTTTTATTTTCTAACATATAACTGTAATGGGAGTTTAAAGAAGGGTTACATGGTAGGTATATTTTTATTCCAGAACATTTCATGAAAACAAGTAACTTCTTGCATTTTTTTTAAAAAAAATGAGACACTATTATCTGTTGCACAGTCATGGTGAGGAAAAGTATAGTGTTATTCCATTGAGTTGTCTATATCTCACTCTGTAAAAGAAAACATGTTGTGAGAAAGAGGCAGCAGTTCTGACTGAGGAAAATATTCTGGGAGTTAAGATCCCTGGACTTTGAATTTTTTGTTATTATAGGCTATTCTTGTTAGTATATTACTGGTTACCATCTGTTGAGTACTTTATTACAGGTATTATGGTAAGTGTGGTATTTGCAATCTCTTCCTTAACCCCTAAAACAAATCTATTTTTTAGGTATTCTGATTAAATCCAATTTAAAAAGAAAGAAAGGGGGCCCGGCAGATGGTGTGGTAGTTAAAACACTGGACTCCCACATGGTCGACAGTGGTTCAAGCCCCAGACCTGCTGGCTTGCTTTCTCACTTTCCTTTTCTCTCTTACTGGTCAAATTAAAATAATAATAACAAAAACAACAACAACAACAATAATAAATAAAATAAAAAATTTTAAAAATGAGGGAAAAAAATTTAAAAAGTTCCTTTAGAAAAAGAGAAAGGAAGTAAAGTAGGTTTTAGAAGAGTTAAGTAACTTGACTCTGGCTGTGCAGCTGGTAACATGCTAAACTAGGACTTCAAACCTTGGAGATTTAGCTTGGACCCTAAACAAATATCTACTATCCTATTTACCTTCCCTATTTAAACAAATTGTATTTAATTTTTTTATTCCATCTTTTAAATGAAATATTGCTACTCAGTTTGTAGTTGTGATGAAATGATAAATAAAAGCAGAAGTGATCATGGATGCTTTGAATTTCTTGAATGTAAACACCCATATCAACTGTAGGTTCTGGTACTGTGTATATTACACGCAGAGAGCATCACATTGCTTTGATATGGTTTGACATAACACATTACACTTCAGCATCTTTTTCTCTTGTAGTTCCTTCATTTGATGTTATCATAGTACTCACATTATGATATTCACAAAGTGCTTTTATTTATTAGGTGTTTCTTTCTCTTTTTTAGTTTTGCTGTGGCATGCGTGTGTTCACTGGACAGGGACACAGAAAGATACAGAGTGGGAGATGGGGGGAAGTAAGAAAAAACACTCTGTGGGGGATGGCCACACCACAGTCTATTCTCATCTATTCTCTCAAGATTTTGGGTACACATGCCCAGTGTGTTTTTCAAGCTGTTTGATCTGGGACTTCAACCTCATATTCGGTCATGTATGGTCCAGCTACCTTAACTACCACACCATCCACTGGCCCTGTTTCTTCCTTTTGTTTTATCATTCATTTTCTTCCTCATCTATAATGACTTTCCCTTCTCATGCCACTACATTCTCCTCTTTTTCTTGCGCTTTCTCACCATATTTTTTTCTCTGTGTTTGTTTTTTAAGTTTCTTTCTTTCTTTCATGAGAATGAGAGACAGATACAGACAGACACACACACACACCCAACAGGGATTTGTGCTAGATTCATGGGCACATGTATGTGCACTTGATGTACACAGGTCAGTCTGGGAAAGTGAACTTGCAGTCCAGCATCCTTGAGTTGTTTACTACTGCTGTAGTAGTAAACAGCCCTTTTTTCTCTCATTAGTTGTGTTTAAAATAAAATAAAACTAAACTCTGCTCTTGCTTTCACAGGTTTCTTAGGATTTGATGTTAATAACTTTTTTTTTAACTGATAGAATTTGGTAAAGTCAGGGAATTTTTTACATTATGCTTGCTTATAAACTTTTTTAAAAAAAAAATGTTTTTACCAGATGGCATTCACACTGTCCAGAGTGAGATAGAGACAAGGAAACTGAGAAATCACCCCCACAGGGTGATTGGCCACATTAAAACCCTTCTCCTCCTACATTCTCCTCTCAGGATTGTGGGCATGTATGCATGTGTACCCAGCATGATTTTCAAGTCTCTGGTTTTGGGTCTTGAACTGTGGTCAGCTATGTGGGAGTCTGGGACCTTAACAACCATGCCACTGCTGGCCTCCCTATATATGTTCTGAGAAATCACCCCCACAGGGTGATTGGCCACATTAAAACCCTTCTCCTCCTACATTCTCCTCTCAGGATTGTGGGCATGTATGCATGTGTACCCAGCATGATTTTCAAGTCTCTGGTTTTGGGTCTTGAACTGTGGTCAGCTATGTGGGAGTCTGGGACCTTAACAACCATGCCACTGCTGGCCTCCCTATATATGTTTTTTTTTTCGAGACCTTAACTGCCATGCCACTGCTGGCCTCCCTATATATGTTTTTTTTTTTCCCCCCTGGAAAAAAACTAGTTTGATCTAAGTCATGAGTAGGAAGTAAATAAAAAAGAATGGACATTTGATTATTATTATTTATTTATTTTTGTTTAGAGAGATTTTGTTGCTATAGGTCATATGCACTCACTGGATAGACAGAGGGACAGGAAGCAAGAAATTACCACCCAGGGGGGATGACCATACCACAGTCCCTTCTCTTCCATTCTTCTCTCTGGATTTTGGGCACACATGCCTGGTGTAAGGGGTCTGGGACTTGAACTGGGTCAATTACATGGGAGTCCAGTGACATAACCATTATGCCATCTGTTGGTCCTGTGATTATTTTTTTAAGAGTCTACATTTTTCTCATTGTGGATATCTTTTCATTAGTACCATCTGTTGTTTTGTGCCTTGAAACCTGAAAAAAAAAAAAACTGAATATTCAAAAACATAGCATTTGCTCGCTCTCAAAGAAATCATCAAGGGGTTTGATGATAAAATTGATCGTTTGCTTCATAGTTTATAGTTCTATGAAATAGTGGCTGAAGAACCATGTGAAATGTTTTCAAAAAGGGAATAATTTTACTTATTTTTCGTAATTCTTTTGACTTTTTTTTTGAGAGGTTTTCGCCTAGGGCATGTGCGTTTGCTGAGTAGAAAGAGAGACAGAAACAGTGAGAGGGAAAGTGAGAAATTACCCCCAGGGTGCTGGTTACCCTGCAATCCCTTTTTTCCATTATTTTCCCAGGATCTTTTAGCATGCATGCACATGCTCCTGGCATGATTTTCAAGCTACTGGGTCTGGGACTTGCACTGTGGTTGGTCATTTGGGAGTTCAGCAACATAACTGCTACACCACCTTCTGGTTCCAATTTTTTTATTTTTATAATATAGCTAATGAGATTTGCAGCCATTGTATTAGGGAGTTACTATACTATGGAACGGATTAAAAATAATAGATACTTAGCAAATAAACTTGGTTTTGAAAAGTTTGGGGAATGTTGATATTATTTCTCATACTTTTCCCAATTATCATATTTTTTACTTATTCTACTTTAGGTCATGCATGTAGTGTTTGAAAACTTAAGAACAGACATACAATAGTCTACCACCATTACAAAACAATTAGAAAAGCATCTGAATTAAAGATATTTCATTTGTACAAGCCAATCTTTGATAATTCAAGAGCCCAACTAAATAGAGTAACTTTATTTCTAAGCTTTGTTTTAGTCTCTCTGTTCCCATACACTTGGTCTGAATAGGAATTCATTTCTGGAGCATGAAGAAAATGAGGTTTAGATCCAGTCTAGAGAAACTGAAGAGAAAAAGCCTCTTTCACTAGAATCTTGGTGAAGGGTCAGAAGAATGGAAGACTAGAGCAAGTTCGGAGGACATCCCTGGGCTGGAGAGTGGTGCAGCAGTGAGACATGATGCTTTCGGAGGCAGACTCATAGAAAGGTTCTGGATTCCCATACACAGACATCTCTGACTATGACTGCCATAAGTGTGCCTGTGATCTGGGCTGACTAAGGCTCAGTGTGGATGGTGGCATCAAGGCCTTGCTGGGGATGTTCTATTTTTCTGTCTCCTCTTGCTGCTTCTCTTGCTTGTGGAAGGCATAAACTTTAAAAAGTTAAAATAAATAGAAGGCCATTGTGAGAATATCTCAGATGAAAACAAGGAATTTTTCATTGAAAATTAAAAAAAAAAAGTCAGGTCATCTTTATTATACTATTGCAAAGAATTTGTACTATGTCTGTCCCTTAAGGCTTTATAGAATTCTGAATTAAGAGTAATGAATATCTGTTGACAGAATTTTCAAAACAAAATATTGCAGTTATTTACAAAAAAGACTAAGATACTGGGTGTGAGAAAGTTTGGATATAAGGATACAATATTATAACACTGTTGTATACAGCCTATGGAAGACACTCAATATGTGTTAATCATAAGTCTGAATAATTACCTAATGTTTGTAACAGAAGTAACATATTCGTTGAGACGTATGCAAGTACTTGAGAATAGGAATAAACACCTTTTTGCAGAGAATGGGATATTTTTAAATGGAATTTCTTGAAAAAGGTCTTAGAAAAAAATACTATCACAGGGTTAAGGGAAAGTAGGAATTGAGGAAAAACATCTCGCATTTACATTTTTAAAGTCATTGGTAACCCTTGAGTACAATTTTACCTCAGTAATTAGGCAAAACCAGATGGCAACAAATTTTATAAATGAGCTGGTGTGAAGGAAATCAGGGCAACTGCTATCGACAACCTGTTTACTGTAGGATTTCGTTGCTATCTTAAAATAGGAAGCAATGTTAATAGGATGTTAGTGATGAGTTTCTATCTGTGTCCCTACCAATAATGAGACAAAATGCCCCTCATAGTAGTCACAACCAATAATGAGACAAAATGCCCCTCATAGTATTAAATTAAAGAAGGATAAGTGAGACAAAGAATTAGTTTTCTTTGTAATCACATCTAACCTCTTGTGAAATACATTACATGGAACAAGATAGGCAAGAAATAAAAGAAATGGAGTAAACTGACTTTAATTGAGGCTTATTGTCATGGAGACCTTCATGGAATCAGCCTTGATAGTTTTTAGTAGGGATAGCTCTTACAGTTCATTTTCCCAGCTCTGTATATTTGAGTTAAGTGTTTACTGTCAACACATACTTACATTGGCTTGTAAATAAACGGTGGTTTGGAGTTTGTTGTGCAAAATTTCTTTTGTTTAAGTTTGGAGACTAAACTTCTGGATGCTCTGGTGGAGAATTTCTTTGATGTAAGTTCATGTCAGAGAAAAATCTACTTCTAATATATTCTTTGCTCTTTTTTGTAGGTTTTTTCATCTGGTCCTGATATACATTATGACCCACATCGTTGGTTAGCTGAAAGTAAGGTAATTACTCTTTGAATCCTAACGTTTCCCAGTATTTATGAACTCCATGGCATCCTATTTGGTTTAGCTGTATATTTTGTCATATAGCTGGGTATATGAAGCTGTAATACTTCATTGCAGGGAAAGATAGCACTGTAGTGCACTTACGAAACCCTCTTATTTCTTATTGTAACATTTAAAGATTAGTTTGCATATATAGAAATAGAATGAAAGCATAAAGGCAAGTAAAGCTGTTGAATATTAAGAACTAAATTCTCACCAACTCTTCTGCCATTTTACTTGGGATAGATAAAGCTTGTGTCTCTCTGGAATTGTGGAAAGGTCATGCAGCTTGAGCTGATCTTTATTTTACACATACATACTTAATATCTTTTGCTCTTTGAGGGTAAGCCCAAAAGCCTGTCAACTCTGTATTGCTGCAGTAAATCCTTTTATTTTTTGGATGTTTTCTTTTAGAAAATGAGAGAGTTAAACTTTTTTATTTATTTATTTATTTTTTTTTAGAGAGGTTTTTACTATAGGGTTCATGTGCTCACTGGAGAGACAGAGAGAAATCACTCCTCATCCCGGGGAGAACCGGATGGCCATGCTGCAGTCTTTTCTTCTCCATTCTCCTCCCAGGATTTAGGGCATGCATGTACATGTGTCTGGTGTGAGTTTAAGATGCAGGGTCTAGTACTCAAACTGTGGTTGACTATGTGAGAATCCAGAAACATAATCATTATGCTATCTGCTGGTTCCAAATTTTCTGTTGTAATGGTAACTTTTATGCTATATGTTTCCCTGGCATATGATTACAATTTTATGATAAATAAGCAAAAATAAATATAGCTGAACAAATTTTAATTTTAGCATAAAGATTCATCTACACTGGGATAAGTACCAAGTACTTTCATGTGTAAGGTCAACTTGGAAATTCATTACTAAAATATATGGAAAATTATAACCAGATAAAGTGCAGATATCTATTTATTCAAGTATTAACAATCCTATACTTGCATTTCTTTCTCAATGATGTTATATAAGAAAACCTGTGCAGATAATTTGACCAATTGTTGCCCAATATAGGATTTTATTACAAGGATTGTAGGGGTTGGGAAGGAGAAACTCAGGAAGAAAACATTTAATAGATGCAAGAATAAAAGTTCTTTGTTGAAAATGATATATACAGTATAGCTTTGACTTGATTGACATGTGCATGCTTTGAAAAATCATATTGTTGGCATCAGCAGTTAGTGTAATGGCAGTGTTGCTGAACTCACATGTTGTCGACTGTGGTTCGAGTTCTGGACCTGGTGACTTAAACTCAAACCGGGCGCATGTGCGTGTGTGCCCAAGATCCTGAGAGGAGAATGGAGGAGAAGGGATTGCGGCATGGCCTTCCCCCGTGGGGAGTGATTTCTTTCCTTCTATCTCTCTATCTCTCTCTCTCTTTCTGGCGAGTGCATGCACCCTATAGCAAAAACCTCTCCAAAATAAAAAAAAAAGAGAAAAAAAGGTCATGTTGTTTACTATAAAGATGTACAATGAGTGAATGTAAATAAGAAATCATAAAATTAAAAAAGAATCTTTAAATTTTGTCTTTTATGTTTATTTAAAAAAGTGAGAAAAATAAAGTTTTAGAGAAAGAATATGATTTGTCCATGCTACAAAAAATAAGATTATATGTCACGTCTGACTCACAATTAATGTCTTGCCATTCTGTATATTTCCATCTAGATTTTATTCATTTATCTAAGATTTACTGATTATATACTTTTTTCTTTTTTTTGGAGAGGTTTTTGCTATAGGGCGTGCGCTCGCCAGGAAGACAGAGAGAGAGAGAGAAAGCGAGAAATCACCTCCCGGGGGGATTGGCCATGCCATAATCCCTTCTCCTCCATTCTCCTCTTGGGATCTTGGGCACACATGCACACATGCCTGGTGTGAGTTTAAATCACTGGGTCTGGGATTCAAACCATGGTCAACTACATGGGAGTCCAGTGACGTAGCCATTATGCCAGCTGCTGGTCCCATGATTATATACTTTTAATCAGACACCAGGGGTATAAGAGTTAATAAGCCATGGACTTGCTCTCTTGTAAAATCTAACAGGGAAAATGATATATAAACAAATTTTCAAAATCTTGGATTATGTTACATTATTATAGATAATACGTGAACATTGACAGAAATACAGAGTAAGGAAGAACTAACTGTGATATTTGTGCTGGGAGGGCACAATGTCCATAAAAAGCTTCTGAAAAAAAGCAGTATTTGAACCTGGTTTTACAAAAAGCATGGAGAAATTCTATAGTTGGCTTACTTTGGGAAGGCCAGTGGCAAGAAAAGGAGAATGTTTGAGTAACTGTAGATAAGGCACGAGATTAGCGAGAAAGGAATAGGTGGAAAGTGGTAGAAAGACAAAGTTCACTGTTATTGGCCAACCATTCTTTAGGGAAGCCTCTTAAAAAGAAAAAAACAAAAAGGCATTGGTAATAAGAAAATAAAAGTATTGTGGTTAAAGTTTAGAATTGACTGGGATCAGCAGATGGTGTGGTAGTTAAGGGACTGGACACTTCTACATGGCTGACCAAGGTTCGAGTCCTGAACCCAGTGGTTTGCTTTCTCATTATCCCTCTCTCTCTCTAGTCAAATTAAAAAAGAAAAAAAAAAAAAAAAGAAAAAAAAGAATGAATAAATAAAATTAAAAAATTCTAAAAAAAGAAAAAACTACAAAAGATTAGAATTGACCTAATCTTCTACATTTTCTTTGCCAACTTTAAGGACAATGATACTGTCTATTCCTAACCATTCTTATAAGGACCAAATGCAAATTTTATTATGTAATCTGTACAGGACATTTAGAATATAAATGTTTTGCTCTCTTGGAATTTTTTTTGGCCATAAAGTTCTATTGTGTTTTCATGTAACATTTCTCTTTTTTTCTTTTCTCTGACTCCACAATTCTGACAGGAGCAATGTACTTGGAATTTTCTTTCAAGTTAAAATCTTTATCATTTCTGAACAGAGAGCTTTCACTGTTCTGGTGCAGTTAAATTATGAGAGCCAGAGATGACTCTTAATCATAGCTCTTTAATTTGGGAACGAGTGGGCAGTTTTCCCTTATCATTTAATGGGATTGAACTTCTGATCAGACCAGTTTTAATACTGTATGAGACAACTGTTCTTTCTACAGTGCGAAAGTGTTGTGATAAAAAATACCATGCTGACCAACTGACTAAGGAAGAATTGAATCTATTTACTAGAAAGATGGCTTGGATTATTGATGGGCTGCAATACTGTAATTCCCATGAACTGTGACTGGACAGTTCTATAAGTATCAAAGATAAGATCTGAAATCAGAGGGCAGAAACTATATGGAAAGTAGAATTGCTATTCAGCTTGTTCGTGCTGACATCTTACAGTATTAGAAGGACCTCTGAGGGCATTCAGTAATTGTTTTCATAAATCTGCCAAATGAATTTCTTTTGTTAGTGTTAATTCTACAAGAACGAGAGGAATGGGGGGATTGCCTTTTTGGCAGATGTGGCATAACATAAATATGAACTCCGGCTGAGACTTGTACCAGACTCACAGATAAAATGACCCGTGACCACTAGTACTAAGACTTTACTACAGAGAAGACGGTTGAGATGGTCACTGTGGAGTGCCAGGCCAGAGTTCCTATAAATTAGGCATTTTTTTGTTAATTAATTATTTTGCTTTTTTATTATTGTAAGGTTTTTGCCATAGTGTATTCGCCAGAGAGAGACAGAACAGTAAGAAGGAAAGTGAGAACTATGCCCAACTCCCTGGGGAATAGCTATGCTGTAATCCCTTCTTCTCCATTCTCCTCCTGGTATTTTGGGCACCCACGTATACATGACTGGTGTGAGTTTCAAGCAGCCAAGTCTAGGACTCGAACCGTTATCAGCCATGTGGGAGTCCAGTGCCTTAACCACTATGCCACTTGCTAGTGCCTAATACAGTTTTTAAAAATTTAATTAATTAGTTGTATTGCCAGAGAGCAGGTACACTTGAGGAGGGGGGGCGGAGGAGAGGAGGGAGGAAGGGAGGGAGGAAGGGAGGGAGGGAGGGAGAGAGGGAGGGAAAGAAAGGGCCCTCAGTGAGGCATGGTCAGGCCATAATACATTTTCTTTCATTTATTTGTCCTATTCGGATTTTGAATTCACATGCATACATACCTGGTGTGATTTTGAAGCTACTGGGACTAGGATTCGAACTGCAGACAGCCATGTGGGATCCAGCTTCCTGAGCAGTGCCCTTAACTGCTGTACTATGAGACTGACCCTTTCATAAATCCTGACTGGGTCTGTAGGCTCCCATTTCTATTGAGCTGAACAGAGTTTACTAACTACGATGTTCCAGATGTTATGTTACATGCAATGGGCATTAAAGTAAGACACAGCTCTGGAGGAAATAGTTTCTTTAGAAAAGGCAGACTTATATGCTGATACTTTTAGTGTTATATAGAAAGTGTGATAGAAGTATGCAGATGCTGCCATGGATGTTGGCATCTCAGATGGTAAAGAGAAGAGAGACCATGCCTGCAGAGAAGACAATGCTAGGAGTGGCAGAGGGGACAGCAATGCAAAGAAAGGCCCAGGGATTTAGTGATACTAGAGTAGGGCAGTGTGAGACAGAGAACAGCAGGGGGCAAGACTCCAAGCAGAGGTAGAGACAGAGTTCATCAGGAAGAGTGAGTACTATATGGCATTTTTAGGAGCTTGGATTCAGATAGTGTTTTCACAGTAGGCATCCATATCAAGAAAGCCCTAGACAGCAAGGCCAAATGGGTAGCAAGGACATATGCCCAAATAAGGGTTTGATTCAAACCATGGAAATGGAAATGGAAATAGCAAAGGGATTTCAATGAGACAGTAGGGATAACTTTTCAAATCTAAAGCAGGGGAGCACCTGCTGGTCTCAGGATGGACTAACACACCTGCAAGAATCACTGTTGTCCCAAATGTTGTTTTGGTGACCTGGTATATTCT